AGGTTTTCACTCAAAAGAAAAGCGAATTTTGGAGAATTGCAGACTAAATAGCAAACAGCGCACACCTTGTTCAGACGGCACAGAAGTGCTGGTTGATCTTCAAACAGGTCTGCACAGGCAACATGGGTAGAATTTGTTTGCCACTTAAGCAGGCTAATGGTTGACATAATAAAAGCAAGTTACTTTTAAAGTACGCAAATCTTAGAGATATTAAGGTCAATGGAATATATGATATACTAAGTATAGCAAAATTAAAATAATCTTAAAGCGTCATTTCCAGGACAGTCATTTTTCTTCTCTTCTCTTAAATAACAGAAATAGACCCACTTAGGACATTAACTTTTAGCACTGTATATATTGACAGAAAATGGCTTCAGAGTGTCTGGTCATATTTTTAAATTACAAATGTTTTGTAACCTTTTTTCTGGACGCAAGCATGAATTTTGTCCTCTTTTTTTATCATCCTGATTGATGTGACCAATAATCGATAAATTTATGAAAAGCCCTACCCCTTAACCTGCTGGAGCTAAATGTGATAATCCATTGCCACCAGAATAGAGCCAACCTACAAGAAAGCTCTCTAGTGACCATTATTCATTTAGTGAATCCATTATTCCAGCCCAACCTTGGATTATTCCGGCCTAATGCTCTGCCTTTTCCTCTGTACAGCCTGACCTGAGGCTCAGTTCTGTTCTGTAAACTCAATTCAATGATATTAAGATAAGGGCCTTTAAACTTAGAATGTATCTGACTCAAAGCTTAGCAAATCCATTACCCAAATCTAGCACTTAAGTTTAAGGTTAAAACATATCTGGCTTCCAGTGTTTATATGGACATTTAACCAGTTTCTGGACAAATAAACAAGAGCTGAAAATCTTTTTAGTTTTGGCTGATCTGAACTTAAATCAAGCAATTAACTCGATAATTAATGTGTCCACTGGACATTAAAAACCAGAAAATGTTTCAGAGATAAATTAATGTGGTAATTTCTATTTAAGTGATAGATAGCCATTAAATAAAGGACATTTCTAAGTGAAAAAAGTTCAAGGTTGAAAGTCTGATCTGTAAAAACATTAGCATGACTTTCAACATTATACAAGTGCTTGTTAAGGAGATAATGGACGTCTTGGACTCCAGCTGCTTTTAGATAATATCTGAGGCTTTCTGAGAAAGGGCTCTCTGATAAAGAATGTCAATGCTTCATTGTTCCAGTCCATTAGGTTTCTATAAATACTTATTTTCTGTTTGGTTTTAAGTCATATTTTTAGCTCATCTCATTTTGTCGCCAATAAAAAGCAATTTGGTCTTCGTCATGCAAAATCTAAATGAAGCTCAGAATTTAAACATTTTCATACTAACATGAAACTTTAAATGCTTGTTTCCCAACACGCAGTTTAGTTGTAAAGCGGTGGGCATTATTCTGAAACCTACATTTTTTGGAGTTATGCCCCTTTTAAGCTCGTCCATTTTAAAGAAAAAGTCAAGTTGATCATGATTGCGTCAACGGTGGGGTAAACTTGTAGCGCAGCAAAAACTTTCGAGAAGCCAATTATTCAAACATTTTAAAAGGTATCAAAATGAAACTTGGAATACTTGCTTATCATAACAAGGTTCAGTTGTGATACAGGGGGCATAATTCTGAAAGAGTTATGTCCCTTTTTAACTTTTTGTCAAAGTAATTCATTTAGTAGAATGATTTTAAACATTGAAGGGTATCAGTATTTAACTTGGAAATTATTGATTATTTTGACAGGGCAGAGTTGTAAGACAATTAAGGGGCCTTAAAATGATTGGAATATACCTGTCCTGTGAATCGGGTGACCCAGGTTTTGATTCCCAGACTGCACAGGTCACTTTCATTGTGATTGATCATGAAATCCTTTCTACAGTCATTGGCACTATACCTCTGCTTTTGCATGTACAGAAGTAATCAGTTCCTTTCGAAAGTGAAGGCAACTTAAGTACTGGTAAACTACTTGACAGCCTGCCTAGGAACAATGCGGTGGCTGAACTGTGCTCTGGTAAATTTAATGTGGCTTTACTGCCCTGATTCAGAGTGAAAACTACCAACACCACGGCCAAAATAATTTGGTCTGTTACTGTAACACTTCCCCTGCAATAGTTCATGAACTTTTCATGAATTATTCATGAACAGTAATGGTTCATTTTGCAGAGGTAGAACCAAAAAATACTAGCCTTTGCTACCAGTTAAGAGGCAAGCAAGCCAACACATCTGTGCACTCTTGAGAGTCTATATTGTAATTGGGTGACAAAATTTGAATTTCTATCTTGATAGCCCTAAAATTGATAATGGACAGTTCCTAAAATGGAATCTGAACAAGTCCATTTAAGAAATTTCATCTTGTTTAGGGTAACTGAAATGATTAAGTCATTATATTAAAAAATTGTTAAATTTCTGTAATGAAATTAAATCCTTCAATAAATTGTAATTGTAATTTCTAAATACAAACTTTGTTATATTTCTAGAAAAGTTTATGGAATTAGATTAAAATTTTCTAAATTTGAAACCAGAACATTTCAATACAGAATTTGAATTATATTGGTTAAAGTTCATAGGAAGTTAAATCTCGTTAAAGTCTATTTTGAAAGTTTAATAGATTCTATTCTAGTAACAAAATGTTGTTGAATTTAATAATTTCCATTGATTGTTACACAAATTTCAACTTTAAATCACATTATGTAACAGTTATTTATATCCAAATTAGGAAATGTTTAATTATTTGTGTTCCAATATGGAAATTTTGAGCAAATTATAATGAGTTTTTGGAAGTTGTTATAGTAAAATTTCAAAGTAGAGTTAAGATAATTTGTTAAAGTTTTGAAATAAGAGAGAAAATTATCATTCAATTTCTGCTCAGGTTACCTTTAAGTGAGGACACTTCCAACAGAGCACAATTTTACAATGTAGTGAACACACATAGAATGCAGCAATGTAACTTAATAATATTGACCAGTGAGCACATTGTGAACACAGTACTGTATCATTTTCACTGTAGTGCATTCTGTATAAAATACAATTAACATAGTAAAGAGAGGATGTTATCAACACAATTTACACAGTCATGAACACGGCACAACTTACAATGTAGTGAGAGCACCATTTGACTGCAGTACAATTTATACACAATATTCAGAGCACACTGAACACAGTACCATTTTCACTGCAGTAATTTTTGTATGCAATACAATTAACAAGGCATTGAAAACACCACCAACAAAGCACAATGTGCATAGAAGTAAGCCCACAGTGTGAGCACAGCAAAATTTACTTTGTAAAGTGCCTACAAAATTATACTTAAATACACAATGCATCAAAGAGCTAGAAAGTTATTTTCAGGGGCAGAAAACTCAAAAAGTCGGATGGTGACCCCCAATATTTTTGTTATCATTTTGTTTTAATTATGATTCCCTTTTATCATGCAAAGTTTAAGAAAATTATCTGCATTAGTTAAAATTTTCCTTCATTGTGATGTATTGAACAATATTGCTCACGTCTTAAAGCAGCATCAATGATAAGCCTTATTTGAAAGCATAAACAAATCATTATTCAAAAGGAAATAATCACCAATAGAATTACTTAGTGAGAATGACCTTCTTACATATTTTCTGTATAGTTTTGTTACCACATCTGGCATTTTAGCCAATGTCATAAACCAATTCAGGGCCCATAACTCCCTGGAGTCATCTGAATTCCTGTACAAAAGTGTAATTTCTGAGAAATTTAGCATATTTATATCTATTTCTTACAGTATAAGTACAAGATGACAGTTGGCAGTGAAGTTAAGATTCTAATTAGCGCTAAGAAAATAAAAAAAAAAGTGTTACAGTCTTGGTTGCTTAATTCTTTCAAATTTGGTAATACTAGAGGGACTGACATTTGATGTAGGTCTGGCCCAATAACTTGTGTGGAAAACTTCAGAACATTCGCTTGAACATTCCAGAATAATGATTTTATTCTGCAAAATTTTCAAAAAATAAAAAGCTTTGAAACATTGTAATGTTTATAACTTAAAAATCAGGCTAGGAATTGCACCAGGCTAGGAATTGCAGCAAAAAAAAATCAGATTAAATTAATCTGTATATATCTTTATTCTTAACTTGTGTATATTTTGTTTTTAAGATGCCCAATTGATCTAATTGTTATTTTTAATATATTTAGGCTTTTGAACCTCTAACTTTCTTTAAGTGCAAGCCAATGGAGGAAGTGCATTGTGTTTCTAAAATCTAGGTTCCTTGTCATAGATTTTCTTGTCATTTTGTCTAATCTAAGTTACAAAATAATATAATCTGTTGAAATTTGAAGTTATATTTATGTTGTATTCACCACATATGTACAATTTAATGTCAGTCAGAGATGAGCTGTTTATTATGTCATGCAAAAGTCAACATCTTAAATTATTGGTTTAAAATGTCTCTTGCATTTCAACCTTTTCAAGAAGTATAATTACTGACATTAAGTTGTTCAATTCTAAATGGCTGGTTTGAAATATTGTACGTGACTGATGACAGACAGACATTTTATTCCAACCTTTTAAAGCCGGCTTCAGTTGTTGTTGTTTTTTTAAGGTTAAATATATAATTTTAGTTTTATATAATTGTCAATTGTGAACAATAGTGCACAGTTGAGATATGTTTGTACACCAGGATTATATTTGGAAAAGCTTACATTTGCCAAGTTTCATATAATATCTGTTAGAAAGGTTCACTATTTTTCATGGGTATTGCACTGTCATCAAGTTGTCGTGAAAGTGAATTGCTGCAAAGGTTGGTTGCAATGCAGCCAGTAGTTGCTTTGTAAACACAAGCAGATCAAAATTTTGTGAATTTTGTTTTCCATGCTAAGCATTTCTTCTAATTATTATGAATGCTAATGTCTTTGCAGTTGTATCTGTGTATTGTAAGAGAAGTTAATGGTAAGATAAGTTAATCGTTAAATTGTAAAATGTAATTTCACAAAGAATATGTTTATATATTTTCAGGTGAGTCAACATCCACATACAGGTTTAAGGAATTGGGGAGCCGAGGCTATCACACATCTAGTACAGTCAGCACTGGCCTTTAACCACCAACCACCATTACAACAGAATCTGGTAAGTTCCCTTAAACAAAATATTATAGGTTCATACCTTATCCCCACCTCCCCCCACCCCTATCTTAAATGGACTTGTCCATCTTCGAATTGGAACAAAAAAACATTCATCTTTTTAAGAGAAAATTAAAAAATAGATTTCGAAATAAGAACAAGATGAATACTTAGTGAACAGTGCAGACCATGATAAGACAGCACAAATGTGACAACTACAGACCTGGTTTTTTTTTTTTTTTTGGCAAACACTTGTTTTATTGAGTCTTTTCATGAGACACTGTAATATGCTTGCTTTAACACATAAGTATATCTGCCACTAATAATGGATGAATTTTTAATTGTCATCTTGATGTGTTTTAAATAATTGATGAAATGAAGAGGGCGTAATCAACTCTCAGAGGAACCACATATTATTAATGTTTGACTGTCTTTTGCTATATACTATGTTTTTCAATGAAATAGAGAAAAACGGAATCCCTAAAGAAAAAGCCCAACATAGCAAAATTAAAAAATGTTGCAGGCTCGGTTTGATTAAGTCTGTTCATGAACATTACTGGAAAGAGCAAGTTACCGTCCAAGCCCCCTACACCAGCTAAACCAGAATTCAACATTTAAACACAAAAATGTTGAAATTTTGAATTTAGAAACATCCACAGATGTGTTCATACATTAAAAGTAATGAAAGTCAAGTATAAGTCTTCTTATTAGAGGTGAATGTTTTTCATTACCATGGCAATACCCAGTATCAATACAGTCATACCTTATGTATCATGATGGGTTTTATATGACAGGAAACATTTATTGTTTTGTTGAAAATATGTAAGAAAATTAAGTAATTTGTGTCTACGAATCCACTAGCAACAAATGTTATTTACACCTCGAGGGTTGACCACAAAACTGCAGTAACTTATATGAAATAAAGAAGGTTTTGTGGTCAACCCTCAACCTATCATGACAAAGTCACATCAATTTGTGTCACAGAAGGTTCGTTTTGTTGTACAATGGCAAGATAAAAAATATGTAAAATGTCTAGAAATACTTGTCTATCTTTACAATTTCAATCCAAAAATAATTTTTCTGAACACAGGTGGGGATATTAGGCTCACATTTCTTACCAGAGTATAAAGTCCTGCCTACCTATATCTGTGCAGTTTTAGTCTGTCAGCTTAGCTTGGATTAGTTATTTAGGTTTGATCCTGAGACAGACAAACAATCCTTGCAGTCAACCTTACAGTCTAGCTTTTATGACAATGTTTTTTTTTTTTTAAACAGGGAAAATTCTTTAATGACCAGAATTTAACCAAGATAACAATAAAGGGAGAAAATCAATATAAGACTTTAAACAGGAAAAGTATTGAAGAGTTACGTTTCTTTATATGACAGAAGGTTCTGCATTACACTTTAAATTGACAAAAACACAGATTGTTATGTAAGTTTCAGTCAGACGTGTGTGATATAAATCTGCATGATTCGAGTTATTTTTAACAAAAACTTCACTTGCTTGCTTGATTATTATAATAATTCTGTAGAATAATGATGTTAAATTTTTGGCCAACTTGTTTTTTTCAGAAACTACAGTCGAGTATTTTAGCACCTCTTCAAGACCTCTCAACAATAACACAGCCTGACATCCGACAGAAGCAGCTTCAGTGTGTCTTCCAAATTCTCCATGACAACGGTGATTCACTCAACCATGGCTGGCCCTTAATTCTGGGTGTTATAGGCGCTGTTACAAACGATCAAGGGTAAGTGATTAGGGCAGATGATGTGCATGGACTTTCATAATACTTGCCAACTATTTATCCTTTTACCTTCTGAATTTGTGTACTTGTTCTGACCGGATTTGAATTTCAAACAGTCTAATCAAAGTTCAAGAGATTTCTGTATCAAAATATAACAAGAGCCATCACTGGGGCAACATTTATCCAAAAAAAATTAAAGCTACAATTGCATATCCTGATTCAAATGGTTATCATTCTATGAAATGAGTTTTAACAAAATGCTTTCTTGTTATTTAATACACATATGAATGAATGACATATGATAACAGATAACATTGGTTGATATTTTATTGTTTTCTGTTGCCAGTTCTAATCTATAAAACTCCCCACTGATATTGCAGTAACTTGTACATGTTATAGAAAACAAGTAGTGTCAGTTATAAACTTTGCAGATTGATTTTATCGTTGCCATTGATCTCTACCTTAACTTTGGCCACTACCATAATTAAGTAATTTTCATTTTTGTAATACTTTATTTTAGGGAAAAACTTGTGCAGACGGCATTTCAGAGTTTACAACTAGTTGTGACAGACTTTTTACCCATAATTCCCTGTTGTTACCTGGAGGATGTGGTTGATGTTGCCGCAAAGTTTGGGCTTCAAAAACAAGAACTGAATGTCAGCTTGACAGCTATTGGTTTGCTGGTAAGTTTAGCACTACTGTGGTCACCAAAATGGTGGTTAAATACCTGGTAATAGTCTCCATCTATTGATAATATTTTTTGTTCAGAGCGAAACTCAAAACGTATTAAGGACAGGTATTACGGATATAAATTTGAAACTTCATAGAGGGATAAATGCCATTGTGGAAGTGAGAGAAATCTACCCTTCATACATTGTTAGTAATGATTTTGTTATTTTTTGTGGATTATTTTTTGTCTGGCCCATAATGTGAAAAATATTTGAAATTCATAGATTTGATCATCACTTAGAAATATGTTACTACAAATTTTTATGCAGCTGTCACAAATTGATGTGAATAAAGGTTTTTAACAATATTGTTATTGTTTTGTAAGAAGTTTACTTTATGCCATTAACAATACATGACGTACATTGTTATGTTTGATTGGCAAAAAGGTATTTGTATATACTTTTCCGAGACATCATTCTTGATTGCTGTTCTGTCTTTTTCAGTGGAATATATCAGACTATTTCTATCAAAATCGAGAAAGAATCAAAAATGACCTTGAAACCAGTCCGACTGAGGGAGAGGTCAAGGTCACAGAAAGGTCAGATGGAATGTCATCATTTGATGGGTTATGGATGTGTTTATTTTCTGGTCTCGGAGACCTGTGTGTAGATTCCCGGCCTGCTGTAAGGAAGAGCGCAGGCCAGACTCTGTTCTCTACAATATCGGCCCATGGCGGCCTACTGCAGCAAGAATCATGGAAGAAAGTTTTATGGAAGGTTGGAATTTACTAAATATTTTTAAAACTTAAAGTATAGAAAGTGAACGTTTATCTTGGAAATTTTTAGTTCGTTGAAATTTCAAGCTTTGGCTGCATTGTTAAAATAATATATTATTTGAAATAATGCATTTTTATTATTTTAATTACAGAAATAAAATAACATGTAAACTTTCTGAAGCAACAATTTTTAACATTTCCTCAGTCATTTTAATGATTAGTTTACATACATGTTGTGTAAAAAATCAAATATGAAAATAAAAAAGTCGGTCATTTAGCTCAATAGGGAGAGCATCATGTATTTATAATTCCGAGGTCACTTGTTCGATCCTAGTGCAGGGTTTTGTTTCTCGGTTGCAATTGACCGCCTCCGTGGTCGAGGGGTTAGAGTCGATGACTTCTAATCCAGCTACCTCTCTGGCGTGGGTTCGATCCCCGGGAGATGCTTTGGTAGTTTAGCGCGGAGGAAGGTAGTCTAGTACTGGTGTAACTCTCCAGGAACGATGGTTAGGAAACTACCCGCCTATATGACTGAAATACTGTTGGAAAAGGGCGTAAAATGAAACAAACAAACAAACAAACTCAGTTGCAATTAATTGATGTGTGTATCTCACCACTGATTTAAGATTGTGTGGGATAAAAAGGCTTTCACTTGCAGAATAATTGGTAATTACTGGTTAGTTTTCCAGGAAAACCTCTAAGGTAGACCAAACAATGGGTATCACCAAAATTTTGTGGAACTTGGCTAGAAAAACGAGATAAACAAAAAAAAACATGAAAATTAAAAAATGATAAAAAGATTTTTTATAAATACAAAAACTAAAAAAAACACACAAAAAAACAACTCTTATGCTATTGCCATGTGCACTGACTAATTCACACTTTACTACTATCCTTTTGTATTAAGGTGCTGTTCCCATTGCTGGACAATGTCAAGAAGCTGTCAAGCACGGCACCAACCACCAAGGATGAATCAACACAGGGCAATATACTTATACACCATTCTAGAGACACTGCCGAGAAACAGTGGGCAGAAACCAGGGTTCTCACCCTGGCTGGTGTAGCTCGAACCTTCACTGCACAACGCAAAATTTTACAAGGGTTTTATAGTAAGTTTTCTTTGCAATGTTCTCTTTGAAATTTTTTTTTATTACTATTATTTGTTATTACTATTATTTGTAAATTTAGTAATTACTCATTTTAAATTAGTAATCACTTATTTTAAAACAAGAAGAAAATTTATAGTTTTATTGTTTCATAACTTGCAGTGATAATTTATAGTATTATTGTTTCATTACTTGCAGTGAATAATTATCAAGGAAAACTATTTTTATTATTATCAGTAGTGGAATGACAGATATGGATTGTCAAGTAGTAAAGTAAATTTAATGCATTAAGATCTGCATTTTAAAATTCTCACTGAGGATTTGTGCAGTTTTGTTTTAAAATAAACAATGTATTAAGATGGTGATGTTAATTTTTTTATATAGAAGACTTCCCACATGCCTGGGCATTGTTGCTGGATCACATAGAAGGGGCTGCTCTGTGTCAGAATGCTGAAATCTCAATAGCTGCTATCAAGAGCTTTCAAGAAATGCTTCTTATAACTAAAGATGACACAAGCAGCTACATGATACAGACACTTCCTGTCAAGCCTCCAACTGCTGAGGCTATAAATAGAACAGGAGAACCTGCAGCAGACGACATGTCAAAATCTCAGAAAGAGGCTGAAGATGACACAACAGGAAGTGCTAATGATTATGACATTGCATTATGGTCTGCTGCATGGAAAGTGTGGCTAAATATAGGTTCACAATCAACCAAACCACCAGAAGACTCCTCGTCTCTTTATGTACCGTCACAACCATTTCTGACTGCACTAATTCAAACATTCCCACCACTTTTGGATCACATCAAAGTTCGTTTCTCAGTATCAGATCTGCAGAAGTTATCTGAGGTGCTAAAAAGGGCGCTTACAGTTCCGGTGCACGGTGACTCGTCACCGTTTATAATTCCAACATTCCCTGATGTATCAACTACACCCCTGCAAGAAGCAACATTACAAGCCGTTGAGGCTATCATTAAGGTATTATTCATTTACTTCTTAATAGTTCAATGTTGATTTAATGCAATAAATTTCTCAGGTTTTGAACTTGGGACACTCTACTGATAGTTTGGAGGATTTAAGTTTTAAAATGCTTATTATAGTAAAATATACATGCAGACAAAAGTATGGTGCTTTGTCAAATATGTTATAAAAAGAGATAAGAAAAATTGAAAATGCAATAATTCATATTTAAAAAAATTGGATGTAATATTTCTACTCAGTGATTGTTTTGTTGAAGTCACACAGACCCTGTAATGGTCTTATGGAGACCTTTCAGCTGTACCAGTTGAAGGCAACAAGTGCCCCTTTATAAATTTTTCCAAGGCATAAGCAGGCATCTACATAGAACCACTGACCTTCTGTATGCTAGCTGAATAATGTTCAGTATAAAGGCTGGTATGTACATTTAGTTTAAGCATGGTAAAATTTTATATGTTTTATTTGCTTATGTTTTAATATCATTGAAAAAATATTTTTGTTCACAGACAGTACAGGAGGGTCCAGATTCAATGCACGGCATGTACCCAGACATATACGATCAACTGCTGACCTACATAGACTACGGTGTACGAGTGCCAAAGTTTGGCAAGATAGAAACTAAACAGTTTGGATCTGTCAAAGGACCCACAGTATGCATACTTATTGTTCTTGAAATATGCTCTGTTAAATAGAGTTTGCTTTTCCTTCCTTGTCTTTGTTTGATATTTCGAGGGTTGATCGCAAGACTGTTGTAAGTCCTTGATACCAGTTACTTGATACCAGTTACTGCAGTTTTGCGGTAAACCCTTGATTTAACCCTTGATTATTTTAGTTTTTAGCTCGACTATTCGATAAGAATAAGTAGAGCTATTGCAGTCACCCGAGCGTCGGCGTCGGCGTAACCACTTATGTTAAAGTTTTTGTAATAGTTCAAATATTTTCAAAGTCCATAGACATATGGCTTTGAAACTTTGCACACTTGTTCACCATCATGACCCCAACCTGTAGACAGGAGGAGGTAACTCTATCAAGCATTTTGACAGAATTATGCCCCTTTTTCGACTTAGAATTTACGTTAAAGTTTTTGTAATAGTTCAAATATTTTCAAAGTCCATTGACATATGGCTTTAAAACTTTGCACACTTGTTCACCATCATGACCCCAACCTGTAGACAAGAGGAGGTAACTGTATCAAGCATTTTGACAGAATTATGCCCCTTTTTCGACTTAGAATTTACGTTAAAGTTTTTGTAATAGTTCAAATATTTTCAAAGTCCATTGACATATGGCTTTGAAACTTTGCACACTTGTTCACCATCATGACCCCAACCTGTAAACAGGAGGAGGTAACTGTATCAAGCATTTTTTTTACTATCAAGCACTAAGAATAGTCGAGCGTTGCTGTCCTACCGACAGCTCTTGTTAACCCACTTAACACGCTAAATATCTTAAATGGACTTGTTCATTGTCTAATCTGGACTACACCATTCATAATTTTTAGGGGAAAATTTCAAAATGATTACTAAATGAATAGTGAACAGAACAGACCATGAGCAGACGGCATCGATGTATGCTTCCCGGATGTAACTAATACTGGTGTCATATGAGGAATCATGGTTGTGACCCGAGAGTAGGGTTTGAACCCTGGTAACAATTTCTTAGGTTGAGAGACCACAATTTCCTTTGAAATATTTGAATATTTCATTCCAAATATACTATCTGTTGTGAGTAAAATATTTTGTTATACAGGTTTTTCTATCAATTAAATTAGTAAATAATCACTGGAATTTTTCCAGACAATATTTTAGTTATTAAATTTCTACTGGAATTTAGAAGGCTTGAGAACAAGGAAGGAGACGCTTCTTGCTACAAAAAAAACCAACCCACATCTTTTTTATTTCTTGTCTACTGTATTAGTGCAATAAGGAAGCCATAAAAATGGATAATTTTCTTATTTCTAAAATAGAAACTTAATTATAATGTCATGGCCAATTATGGAAACTGAACTTTTTGAATTGAAGATTCTTCTGTTTAGTGCATTGTCGTAAATTTAGGCTAATGAACATTCTGTGAGGAAAGCAAGTCATTTGCACTTCAAGAGCAAAGAATCATAATCAAGAGATTTAGATTTTAGATCATATTAGAGAAAGATATTAAGCCCCAATTTTTAAAAAGAAAATGAAGGGGGAGGTATTGTCAGGACCCACTGGTCCATATCAGGTTAACATTTTTGGTAAAGTTTTTCGTTTATGGCCAATGAATTCAATACTACCAAAACTATAAACTCTATATGTGGTTACACCTAGTTCTATGTGTCACACTGATTTTGAGATCACTGTGACCTGTAGAGGGTAATTGGCTAAAGTCCATTTTCTAAGAAACTGCCAGAGCTATTCACTTCAAAGTTGGTATATTTATCCATAATTAACATATGATGCCAAATCACAAGGGCAGATGATCCTAAAATTATATTTTGCAAAGTAATGTATTATGCCCCCTTATCGTCCTGGCTTTTAAGCTGAGAAAAGGGAAGTGTGCAGCTCCTCAGACAGTTCTTGTGTTTCTAAGGTACCTGAAGTAGACATCATAATGAAAACATTTATTGCACATATTGTTTTAAGCCCTAAGACACAATGGCTGTTACTTTTGAAATAGTAATGTTACGTTAATTCCTTACATTCTTTTTAAGTACAAATAATATCATAATTCAATATTTAATTCATTAGGTTGATTGGGTAACGATGAATTTTGTGCCATTTGCTGAACGCTGTGTGGAGCTCATTGTGGAAATGTACAAAGTTACAGCCAGCCAGACAGCTGTTATACAAGCTCAGGTCCTGCAGAATATCATCAAAGTAAGTCTTTTATACATTTACGCAGTTAGCCAGTCAAATAGTGAAAATACAGGCTCAAGTCCTACATAAAATTATATCAAAGTAAGTCATTTATACATTTACTCAGCCAGTTGTTTAGTGCCAGTCAAAGCTCAAGTCCTACATAATATTATATCAAAGTAAGTCTTTTATACATTTACCAAGTCAGTCAGTTACTGCCAGCCATAAAACTGTTGTACAAGCTCAAAAAATATTATCAAAGTTAGTCTTTTATACATTAACTCAACCAGTCATTAAGCGCCAGTCAAAAAGTAAAAATACAGGCTTAAATTATACAAAATATTATCAAAGTAAGTTTTTCATACAGTCAACCAGTCAGTTGTTGCAAGCAAAGCTCAGGATCTTGAAAATATGATCAGAAAATAGTGAATTAGTCTGGCAGTCCAAATGACATGCATTTGTCATGTTGACACAAGACTTGCAAACCATCAAAGTAAGTCATTCAGACATTCATATATTCTACCAGTCAGTCTATTTATTGCTGTCTGCTATGCAGCAATATTATACAGGCCAAAGCCTTACATAATAGCATCAAAATCAGGTAATTATTCAATAAGTCGGTCACAGTCAGTGAATAGCAAAATATTTTAAAGTAAGCCATAATATATTCATTTATTTTGTAAGTTTTTATGCCCCCACAGAGTGGGAGCATATAGCGTTGCACTTGTCCGTCCGAGTGTCCGTCCGTCCGTCTGTCCGTCCGTACGTCCCGAAATCTTGTGAACACAACTCCTCTTAAACCGGATGGCAGATTTTGCTTAAACTTCCAGGGATGAACAACCTTAATGTGTAGATGGTAGTAAAGGAAATATTTTTGCTGTGACCAAATTTAACAGAATTATGGCCCTTTGTTGATTTTTTCACTATATACTATGTAGAAATTTTGTGAACACAACTCCTCTTAAACCAGATGGCACATTTTGCTTAAACTTCCAGGGATGAACAACCTTAATGTGTAGATGGTAGTAAAGGAAGGAATTTTTGCTGGGACTAAATTTAACAGAATTATGGCCCTTTGTTGATTTTTTCACTATATACTATGTAGAAATTTTGTGAACGCAACTCCTCTTAAACCGGATGGCACATTTGCCTAAACTTCCAGGGATGAACAACCTTAATGTGTAGATGGTAGTAAAGGAAGGAATTTTTGCTGCGACCAAATTTAACAGAATTATGGCCCTTTGTTGATTTTTTCACTATATACTATGTAGAAATTTTGTGAACGCAACTCCTCTTAAACCGGATGGCAGATTTTGCTTAAACTTCCAGGGATGAACAACCTTAATGTGTAGATGGTAGTAAAGGAAGGAATTTTTGCTGCGACCAAATTTAACAGAATTATGGCCCTTTGCTGATTTTTAGTTTTCAACTTGTGGCACATGTAGTCCAAAAAATATTTGACCTAGAGTCATAAGATTGACAGAACAGTGGCGTGTGGGGGCATCTGTGTCCTATGGACACATTTCTAGTTCATTCACCTTCAGTCGTTAGTTAGTCTGTCAGTTATTCATTTAGTCAGTCAGTCTGTCTGTCATAATTTAGTCACTCAGTTATTCATTTAGTCAGTCAGTTAGTAAGCCAGTTATTCAGTCATTCAGTTAGTCAGACTGTTAAGTCATCCATGGTGCAGAATCTTTAAGTCCATCAAAATAATATCATAGTAAGTCATTGATATATTTGAGAAAAGAAGATGATAATTAATGAATATTCAACAGACGTTGTTATAATCACTGTTGCTGTCTCAAATAGAATTATTATTTAAAATCAACATATTTATCTATAGTATTTTCAGATAATAAAAAAATTTCAGCATCTTCGGTTTCTTTGCAAAGGGGAGTAATAAAGAAGATCTTTCCTTCTTTCGTTATGACAGAGTACAGGCTCTTGCATTCTATCAAAACCTAACTAGATATGTTTTCACTTTTGTCTGGAAACAAGTATCTAGCATGTATTTTAAGAAAGAGTTTTTCAACAGCTTTTTTGTGTTTTTTATTTGAACTTTCTGCTGACTTTGTATACTGGACTTAAATTTGAAACATCATTTATAATAATTTCACATGTTCTAAATCCATTATTACAACAGTATAAAACAGATGTATGCTCTTTCTACTGAAAGAAAAATGTATTCATTTCTGAGGAAGAATGAGGCTTAATGTGCCTAAAATACATGTCTGTTTTACAAAAACAAAGAAGGGATTGTCCACGATTTTACTTTTATATGTGATATAAATTTGTTTTATAGATCAATTTTTTGTATATGGTAAATTGTGCTTATAGTTTAAGTACAGAATATAATGTTTTTTTCCTCGAGAAATAATCAACTGGTATATTATTCTTTATATTACACCATTGCAGGTCCTGTTTAGATGGGAAAATTGACTTGAAATATTTTAATTGCGGTGCATAACAATCCATTATTCTTTTTAAAATACTTTCAAAATGACACATTCCATCAAACTGGACAAGTGTCACATGCAGTTTCTGCAAATGTTTGTACTGAATTGACATGGGACAACACCAGCACGTGCCAGAAATTACGGCCTCGCGATACTCCCACTTACACCCACTTAAACCCTGCTTTTCCGCCTTGTTTCATTTTAGCCAAATTACAGAGTGGCCAGGTGCCCCTTTCTTCTTGTGATTGACAGCATTGCTTTTTAATTTGGCAATTAGGACTAAAAGCCGGGGTTCAGCAAGGAGGAGCAGTTTGTCCAGTCCTATTAATGAAATTGTAATTACCACATAGTTTAGAGTAGTAGCACTACTATTATGCCAAAGGTGATTAGGCCAAGGTATAGTGTCAGGTTTCAGCAGTTTTGATTTCAGTTCCTGATGAGAAGAACAGGTGTAGTGACTATGAGTTGACAGTATCTATTGATTTTCAGATTTGGAAATTTTAAATAGGTATTGGCCATGATTGGCTTTTATTTAGATGTTTGTTTTATATAATTTTGCTCATTTTCATAAGTCAGAGAGTACTGCCAAGTTGGATTTAAGCGTGAAGCCAGGTTATCCCTGTATATATGTGCAGTCAGGCCAGTCCTTAACTCAAATTTCAACTTGAGTATTATTTTAACATGAGATGTCTGAAATGCCCAATTCAACAGTACATGATTTTTATATTTTGTATGTTTGATTTCTTTATCAAACTTGCAGTCTTATATGGCAAGTCATAATTAGTAAAATAATCTCAGTTCTCACTCTTATTTATCAATTATCTTGAGATTCCATTACAAATATTCAGTTGTTAACCCTTACCGCCTTAAATATTTTAAATGGACATGTCCGTGTTTCAATCTGGACAAATACATTTATCATTTTTAGGTAAAATTTCAAAATATATACTGACTGAAATAATGAACATAGCAGAACAAGAGGACATAACTGATCTCCCTTGCACTGGTCATATAGGGATATAGGCTTAAGGTATTTATATATGGAAAAAAGCTATGAACTAAGTAATAATAGTCGTTTTCTATAAGAGTTTATAATAGAGTAGGGACTGAAAATCTTATATTATTTTGGTAAGCCTTAATGAGGAGTTGATGACTGAAGTATGAAACGGTGGCTAGCTTAGGCTTCAGGCACTTAAGACCATCTGGGCTCTGTAAGGTTACAGAGGGGTCAATGGTTGGGGCCATCTTGCACCTCAAGTTGATGTGAGGTTATACTGAACATTTACTGCCCTATCTGTTCATTGTCCAGGCTCAATAGTCAACTTTACTAAGATTTACTTTACTTTGATTTTTATCTTGGATCTAAAATGGTTTCTACCGTACACTGACTTATTTATGTCACGGTTCAGAACTGTTCACCATTTAAGGGAGAAGATGTGTAAGCGGCCGGATAGCTTGGTCGGTAGAGCCGTGGTACGGTATTCCGAGGGTCCTGGGTTCAAGTCCCAGTCAGGCTGCACATTTTTCTCACCCTGTGACACTGATAATTTAGAATTTCTTAATTAAAACATATGGTGGATTTGTATAATAAATTTTTAATAATATATATTAATATTTACAATTGAGACTCAACAGTTTTAAAGCTGTCCCTGTTCATAGCATACTTTTATCATCCTGGTTAGCAAGCATTGAAATAAAGAAGAAAAAATTTGGTACTGATAAAAATTATTCTTTCTCTATAATCGGGTGGTCATAAAGTGGGTTTTTACTGTATTTTGTAACAATGGTTCCTTAGAAAAGTTAAACAATCGCCTAGATAATTAAGCATTTGATAATTAATTAGTAAGGTAAGGTGTCATAATTTTTGTGTTTCCAAGTATTGCATGCTGTTAGAGGGAAGAAGAATTTTAAAGCTGAAATGATACACTTATAACTGTGACAAAGCTAATGAAATATTTTAGCCCCCTAATTAGCATCATTTTCAAATACCAAAGGATTACAATCATGGCTATTAGCTTGTGAAACTAGCCAAAATAACACCCTGTATAATACCAGAAGTCATTGTTAGAAACAATATTCTGTTCTGACCAGGACAGGAAATACCTGGTAAGTTATCTAAGGGAGCTGTCAGCCCACCCACCTATCCCCTACACACGGACATTTAGTTCTCTTCAGCCACTCAGCCCCCTGGGAGACTTAATTAAACTGTTAAATTTAGCATGAATCCTTGTATCAGTATACACTAGGGAGCTCATGTCAGACACGGTAATCTGTTAAGATTCTGATTCAGCTACTGTCCGGGTTTATTAAGGGAACACCAGGGATCCTGGCATGTTTCACACTGTTGTAGATAATGCATTGAGTTAATTATGGTCTTTTGTAAATATAGGTTTTGGGGAGAGAGAAAATATTTTTAAGCTCTATATAAAGCTTGCAGGGAGAAAAATTATTTCTATTTTTTTGTGTGTGCACATGTGTATGAAACAAAATATGTATTTTGTAAGTCATTGTGCTCTGGTTTTTTTTCTAAATCTCTATTTATATGCAGAGAATGCTATAAAGGGTTGAAAAAATACATTATCTCAAATACTTTATACATGTATGTATCAAAATTAAATTCTCCTTTGAAAAAAATGTAAATTTTAATTGATTATGGTGATTGAATAATATTTCCTCATATGAAAGTGCCTTTTTACTTAAAAATAAAATGCACTAAATAATAATAAAAACTTGTATTCTGAAATTGTTTATAAATGCTATAACCTTTTACTGAAAATTGTCCATGGGTCAATTTCTAGACCACTTTTAAATGGTCGAGTAATGAGATAATGGCCTGCTTTTATGTTAATATACATTTTAAAATCTTTGTATAGTAAGACGTAAATAAGTTTTATGAACGAAATTAAGCATTATGGTCAATAAGCTTAAAATGCCAAAACAGCTTAGTGTTATTACAATAATCTATAATCTTCTGTAGATTTGGTTTGTAATCAAAACATGTAAGAACAGAAATAAAACCGTAATCAAGAGAGCAAGGTGGGAGGGAGTGGGGCGTATTTTTACATTTATATTATCTATGCCTTCAAGTACATACAATAGGATTAATAACGTTTTTGATTATCTTATCAAAGATGAGATAACAGGGGACAGAAAAGGTTTGTCGTACACGAGCAGGCGGGCTATTTCACATGCACTAACATGTGTAATCTTATAGATAATTCACATGGAGAGATTAATTTGAACTTTGGCCATTTTTGGACGAAATTTATCACTAATTTGACAACAACACGACTCGAACTTAAATGGTAACATTGTTGACGATATGTGATGATCAAAACTTAGATAATAATTGAAATATATTTCAACCTTTTGCACTTTTGTGATCCACTTTATATAAATATATCCATTGTAAATCAAATTGAAATTGGTAATTTAATAAATGGAAAGTTGTGTAAATTATTATTCAAAAGTTAAAAGTCAAAATTCTCTCCCTTTACCTGACATCAAAATCAATGTATTGTGTATCACAACACTAAATCTTGAAAAGTTTACATCTTTTGATGCCATAGCAACAACAACAACTTGCCTATACCAAAACAGTTTTCGCATGTTTGATGCATGTTCAAGTTTGTGCCAGCTAACCAGAGTGCCTGTCCAGTCAACTTCCTAATATTTGAACCCTCAACCTGCTGGAATCGAGTCGATCATCTTTGCTTATACAGTCTGATCAAGCTCAATACTATTGGTTTACTATAATTTTTTTTTCATTTTTCATGGTGATATCCCTAAAATTGATAATAGACAGGTCCAAAAATGGAAGCAGGACAAGTCCATTTAAGGAATTTGGAAAGTTAAGGCTAAATAATATTATGACAATGGACCGTTTCAAATTCATTAATTATTCAAATTTTGCAGAAGTTATAATAGTGAATGATTGTACTTAATCATATAAAAACAAACACGAAATAAGTTATAATTACATATTTAATGTAAAACAATAATAATATATACATATATTTATATATACCTGTTGCATTCATATAAGACAGTTATATTATATAACACTTTATACCCGTATCAACCGACTTGCTGGCCACTGAATTGAAATGAGCCACGTCATGACAAAACCAACATAGTGCGTTTGCGACCAGCATGGATCCAGAGCAGCCTGCGCATCCGTGCAGTCTGATCAGGATGTAATAGGGTTGGTAAGCGAACAGCATGGATGGATGCGCAGGCTGGTCTGGATCCATGCTGGTGGCAAACCCATTATGTTGGTTTTGTCGTGACGCGGCTCAAATGCCTTTTTATTAGTAAAAGATCATAATCATATAAGTTAATTGTACACACAATATCTTACAGTCAATCTTTCAAGACAGAAATGGATACACATGTATTGCATATTCAAAATTGAAATCTTACTAACTTTGGAAATTCAGTAAAGACTCAAATTGCATACAATTATTAAATTTACATGAGAAATTTCCACATGACAATGTTACTTTTATTGTTAGAAAAAGCAGAGAAGATGACATGACACTCTTAAGAAAAAGTCACATGACAGTCTCAGGCAGGGCTCACGCTGTCGGTCGCCATAGTCGCCATTTGCGATTATTTTATAAGATTGGCGATTATTTTTGCATTTTGGCTACAAAATCTGGCGATTATTTTTTACTTCCAACAGTGTTTATATAAGGTGTAAAAATCGATAATGAATGCAGAAGACCCAATTAACACCAGCGGGGTGCATTTAATTGAGTGTCAACTTTTTACCGGTCACGTGCTGCTAACTATATTGCCCGAGGTGATAAAATACATGCGAGATGTATAATTGTATAAGTACTTAAAAGATATTGTCCAGCATTTATAATAGCCATCAAATATCCGTCAATTAGCCACAAAAATCGTTTTAAAATTGATAAACTGGATATTGACTTACCCAAAATTTACCGTGAATTCCAGTAATTGCAAATTTTGATTTTTTTTTTGTTTTAAGCTACTTTACTAAATCGCCAGTGGAAAACAATGGTAAAATATTTAAAAAGTATTAAATTCCAAACAACTATTTGCACAACAACCAAAATTGTGAATATTTCTTGAGAAAACAGGAAAAATCCGATTGTCACATATTTTCGCGACACCGATAATTTTGATATTTATTTAAAGGTGAAATAAGCTATGTTCTGTTTAAAAATCTTTACTACTATTGCAGTAAATTTGTATTACATTGGTGATGATGATATTTTTCAGTTAATTATTCAGAAAAAAGGCTGCATTCTGTGAATGAGTTTGCAAACTTGTGTTATTTCTATAGGCTAATATGACCTAGATCTACTCCAGTTCTGTGTGAAATGTGGAAATTGACAGTGGTTATAGCTGACAAAATTTGATTAGAACAAACAAAAAAAGTTGTCTGATAACAGCATTATGTAAAGTTATAATAAATCTTTAATATTATTGTTATACAGTAATTATACTAATTATAACGTTTTTATTCTGTTCTATAATAACAATTAAAGTTGTGGTTCTATTTTTAAAAAAAGTAGTTATCAATATACACAAATGTATCAGTTTATTTGAGAATCCTTATAAAACTGAAAGATATAAATTTATGTAATGTTTATTTAATCAACTGCTTATGTTGTTAATCGCTAATTCATGAATAGTCCGCTGAACTTTTGGCTATTATTTTTTTAAGTTAAAATTATTGGCTATTATTTTATTTGAGCCAGTGTGAGCCCTGCTCAGGTAAAAGATCACATAACAATCTTAGGGGAAAAGTCACATGGCAAGCTCAGGACACCCTTAGTGACAATCTTCGTTAAACATAGTCACATGACAATTTAGGTAAAAAGGTCACATGACAGTCTTACAAAAATGATCAAATGACAATCATAGGGAAAAAAAGAATGCCCTTCCTTAGCAATTCTTACATTAAATTTATGTTAAATAACTTCCAGATAAATCTTCTAATTGCAGTTTTTGAAGTACATAATACACAATTTTTTAACATCTTTGGCATGAAAAGTAATTTTTAACTGTACAATTTTTCAAGAAAAAATGAAATAATTTATTTTTACTGACTTGAACTAATGTTTGGCTAGCTTTTACGTTAATTACAGAAATTTTTTAACATCTTACTGTAAACATTTATTTGATTTAAATAGCATTCATAAATAAATGAAATTACCTATATATACCAGTAATAAGTATAAATTATAATGCAAAGGGCAAAACGCTTATTACATAATGACAAACGGTGAAAAGGTGCATATATCCTGGTTAAAATGTTGTTAACAGTTTAATACAATATTACAATGTAAATTCAGAAAACAAACAGCATCATATGGCAACATAGAGATATTATTAACACAGAAAATACATCATCATATACATTACACACACTTGTGTTTACACACCATTGCAATTACACACAGGCATATTCTATTTATAGAAATTAATACTGGTAATGAAGACAAAGGAACAAATGCAACATAGAAATCATCATAAACAAAACAAAGTCACCGGGGGGTTTTCAATAATTTTTATAATCTCCAAAAGTTATGTATTTCTGTCACCAAAATGTATGTATACATTAGTCTGAACAAAATTGAACAAAATTTCCTGAAAAAACTTTTGGTCCAACGTCCCTGAGTTAAATTATATACTGGTACAAACTAGTACCCTTATGCCACTTTATCACTTTAGAAATTTCCCTGAGTGATTTGAGCAGGTTCCAAACTAATACACTGTTTTTTAATAAAACTTTTTGAGCATTTCACTTGTTTTTCACATCCTTTCACTTTGCTGTGTAATATTCAGCAACAAACAAGTACGAGGGAATTATTTTGAAGAGAAATGATGAATTCAAACCCAAACATTTCCACATTTACATATTAACCGGATTTGTTTTGTTTAACTTTTGATGTTCACTAGAAGAGCATGGCACTGTTTGGTTTTGTTTGTGTCTGTGATTGATTGAGAAAAAAAAACATGGACCGTATTCTCATCTTGAACCATATCAATATTGCCATAAGTTCTTTGATTATAATCATCCATATCTCTTAAGAATTATACAACATGCATCGTAACTTCTCAATCTCACTTTTTAAGAGGGACACCTCAGTTCGTAATTGGAGGTTTTCTTGCTCCAGGTACACGACGCGCAGAGCTATTTGCTCCTCTTTCATTCTTCTAGCCTCGCGAGATCTCTTTGCTGATTCATTGTTTTTCTTGCGTTTCTCCCAATAACAATCATCTCTTTGTTCCTCTGGCACGTTAAGTGCTCGCTTTTTTGGCGGAATCCCTGAATCATCTTCGTTTCCTGACTTGACCGAACCACTGTCACTGGATTCAGTTTTACAAATATCACCGGGAGACTGAGAGTGATTTGACATGTGAGAGTTACCTCCCTGACTATGACTTTCTGGCGACGTGCTGAGGCGACTTGATGAGGGGCCCGGAGATGATACTTCAGATATCGGAATGGAAGAATTCGGTGGCGATGATGCGTTCGGTGAAGTTGCTGTGTGTGTGATGGTGTGTGTGGTTGGATTTATACGCGACATTGAGTTAGAATTCATTGATGAATGAGATCCCATGTGTGCTGGTAAGGGGGAAAAATCTTGCGCCATTGAAGATGGCATTGTCATTGCATTGTAGAGATCGGAACCTCCCATAGATTGAGTGTATTGCAGACCGTGAATATAACTCATGTTAAAATTAGAACCGGCACTTGGTGGCGACTGGTTTGAGCTATTTGAATTCTGACGCTGCATTTGGTATGACTTGAAATGATCAGTTCTCTGCTGTGAGCTCATCATGGCAGAGTATGGATCCTGCATGATTTTGCTGCTAGGAGGATAGTTGCTATGGTAATGAGGTGATGGTCAGTAAGGTCACTTAGAAAAGAGTTCACTTTTTCATCATTCTGAAATAAAAAAGACAGAAAAACTTTTTGAAAAATATGATTCAAGATGTTATTGTAAATTATTCAATACATTGTTCCAAATGACTGTATTTCAATATTAAAAATACATCTCTGTTTAAGTAAATTTCAAAATAATAGATGAATTTACAATTGAAGTCCTAGTTGTCAGTACCCTGTAAAATCAATTTAATCAACTATTTAAAAGAATTTTGTTCATAGATTTTCAGGATATTGTCTTTATACATGTTTCATGGGTAATATTGGAAACCCTAATGCATCTGTATGTATAGGATAATTTAATATAAACATATAATTTACAACTGATTTACGCTAATTATGTAGGCAATGATTTATTGGTAAGTTAATTACAACCATTCTGTAACAACTAGACATGTTACACCAGCTGTTTTCTCCCTGGATACATCCATAGCTTATAAACCACATGGTACATTTTAAATGATTGTATATCTGGTATGTTGTGGTATGGTATCTCTTATATAGGTCTTATAACCAGGGTTATAAGATAACATAGTTTCTATGGCACCCCACCATGGTCTTTGTTGCACATTCCCCCCCCCCCCCCCCCAATTGTCTTAAAGATTAAAGATTTTTTATTTGAACAGTATTTCAATATACACAACATGACATCTTTAAACTTGATTTATTGATTTATGATTTTATTGGCACATTTCTGTTTATTAGTTCCATTAATTGGCACCTCTTGGACTTAAAGATAACCTTAATAAGCCTCTCTTAAAAATTAAGCCTCTCTTATTATTATAAAAGGCATTGTCACCCGATCATGGTTTGGTTTTGTGCCATGTTTTGAGGTTGTAAAATAAATGCTCAAAAACATGAGTATAGCTGCATATATACAAATCACATCATGTATAAACATAAGGTTTTTGTTGGATTTAAAAAAGACAATTTACTCTTTTATCCCTTGTGAAGGATAAATGTTCAAGTGACTGAATTAACCTGAAAGAAAATTGTAATTAATGTATCTGCATTGAAAGTGAATATCATGGTAATTTCAGAAAAAATAAACCATATATGTATTGTAATGTTAAAATAATCTTAAGAATGAATAAAAATATTACTTTTTTGTTCTTCACAATTGTAAACATTACCTTTTTGTACAAATTTTCTTGAGCTAAGATATAATCCAATTAAAGAATAATAACTAACACTTCAAACTGTTTATAGTAATGTAATGGATGCAATGTGAAGTCAACAGTTGCAATGTTAACAAGTTATTGGTTGAATCACAGTCATCAGAATTTCCCGATCTTGAGCTCTGACAACATATTGTGTATTGTACAGTGTATTTGGTGACATTTTGTCCCAATCAGTGTTTATTGGATATTGGATTAACACTCTTTAATTTCTCTTTATCTCCTTATAGTATTTTTTCTGTAGTTATGACATAATATGACATCATAGAATGGTTGTCAGGTTGTAACGTGACATCATAGTTGTATTGTAATACACAACCGCTGGCAACTTAGCAACTTTTGTTGTTGCTCTTGTTAAGAAATACTTTCAACGGTATTTGGGACTGAATAACTGTCAGAAATAATTGTGATAAAACTGTAAAAAACATTATTTCATGAGAAAAACCAAAAAGTTGTCTGGTCTAAAAAAAACACAATCATTAGTTTTCTATGTAGAATACTGTATAATACAATTACCAGTAACAAAACACAATTTTTACTTCAAATTTCTTGCTTAAAATAATAAAAATATTATTTTGTTATGGCCTTGGTATTTTATTTTAGTTTCCAACCTACCATTTCATTCCCAACGATAAGTTCTGTTTATCAAAATTTAAATTTGCTCAACAGTTCTATCATAAATAACATAAATGAGTCAAGGTGACACAAATATTAATATTCTCTTTTATTTCCAATATTTTCATCAATTTGTGTCTTTCCCAGAGAATCCATATATATATTCTCGTTTTCCAATATTTGCATCAATTTTTATTTATCCTTACATTAGAATCCATGTATAAATTCACATTATTTAATATTTTTATCAATTTTTATTCATCCTTTCATTAGAATCCATTTATATATACATGTATGTGTTTTCAAATATTTTTATCAGTTGGTTTCATTACATTAAAATCAAAATATTTATAAACATGTATAACAATATATTCATGAATTTGATAATTATAACCTTTACATTAAAAATCCATTTATATGTTCCCCATCTTCTATAATCTACATTAATCCATATCTCAATCTTACTGTATTAAAATCCATTTATTATCCTGTTTTCAAAGTTTTTATTTAATTCTTTCATCTGTATCTCATTAAATCCATTTCTGTTAACAATTTTATTTAAATATCTTTTTAATTTTGTTTGTTTTTAAGTAACTTCACTATATATAATAGTTAAGTATTTGCACTAAATGGTATGTATATATATTAGATTATTTTATCTAAATCATGAAGACATTATAGTTTCTTTATCAGTTTTTGTTTGGACTGTAATTTTCAAATTTCAGCTTAGTTTTAGATAAAAAAATTGTTTGAGCTTAATTCACACACAAAAATTTTATGGATTACGAATTTGTAAAACAAGCAATGTTATAAATCCAATCATTTCTGCAGATTGAAATAATTTTCTAACGAAAATAGATGTTTAAAAAAATGAATAACATAGTTATTTTATTTGCATGAAAATGAAAAGTCTTAACTTAAATGCAATTTTTCTAGAGAGCCAACTCAAATGTATTTTTTTTTTTTAATTAATTGAGTTTGACATTAATAATGATTTCCAAAACTGCAAACAATAATTTCCAAGTAAAAAAAAATATGTTGAAAATAGAATTAAATCCAATGTTGTTGTATCTCTTAAAATCACCTAGATAAATGGTGATAGAAAAGGCCACCATGGTATTTTTTTATTTTTTTTATTAAATTAAAAAATAATGTAGAGTTCTTATTTTCTGAAAAATTCAATTTATAAGAAATTGAGATTGTGTTGCAATTTTATTCACTGCAACATCTGTTTTACATTGATACATTATTGTTATAATTTTTTATGAAATACATTCTTAATGGTTAGAAATGCATGACAGTTTTATAGATTTAACGCTACTTCATTTAACTATTTAAATTTAACTATTAATCCATATTTCTTCTCTAAATAATAAAAATGAAACTCTTGAAAATAAAATGAATCAACTAGAATTATCCTTAGATGACCTTAACATTGCCTTACTCCAATGATGACTCCTTCAATGTTACATCAGGTTACTTCCATGTAAACAGTAGGATGTAAAATGATGTCATCATAGTGTAATTTGTGTAACATGACATCACAGATCATTATAAATGTAATATGACATCACACCAGTTACCTCCCTTTCATAAATTCACCCCATTTTCAAGGTTAGACTGGTTATGTAATATTGCCAACTTCTGCATCAGAATGGTTCTAACTGTAAAATGATGTAATAAGGAATAAAATAGTCACACTTTTATTTTGTGTATTGAAAACCTAATGGTCATTGAGAAAATAATGATGGGATAGTTAATACTGGAGTAATTTACCTAGGAAAAAAGTGCTTTGGGATATAGGGAATTAACATCTTATAAATTTTAAAGACATTTCAGAATTATTTATTAGAAAATTTTATCATAACATTATTTTTTTCAATGAAATCAAGAAAAATGTTAGAAACTTGTATGTTGGTAAAATGTTCATAATTTCATTATTGTAATATTATATTGGTTATCAGGAAATATATAAAAATCCATTATTCAATATTAGATATTACAAATAAGTAAAATTTGATTTAATGATTTTATTAAAATTTTATTAAAACTAAACTTTACATATTTTTTAACATGGATTTTTCACTGGCTGATGTTTTTATGATTTTTTTTTGTATGGAAACGAAAGAAAAACAAACCAGAAAATTTTATCCTACTTGATAAATTTTTCAAGCAGTTAAACAGCCTTTTTTGAATTTGAGCTTTGGTTAATTTTATTTAAAAGAAAAAAATCATTTTTGTGTTTACATAAAACACAATCATTTACAGTCTGTTTTGTTTTTTAAAGAAAAAAAAGATTATTTAAATAATGATTAAATTTGCATGAAATTTTCAATAAAACAACTTTTTAAGCTACTTTTTTAATTTACAAATGTGGTATTATAATAATATGTTATATTGAGCTTAGATAATGGCTATTAAGTAATGCATTTTTTATTTTATTTTTTGGTGAGGGAGACAAAAAAAATCTACAAATCTAAATCAGTGATTTTTTTTTTCAAATGGCATTTAACCATGTAACTTTATATAATTACAAAACATTTTTGATGTTTAAAAATTACACTTTTTTTTTCAGAGAAATTAATATTGTCAGACAACTGAACAGTAAATTTCCATATATAAGTACAAATTGTCAGTTACGAGAAAAGAAAAAAAAGTTAAATTAAAAGTGATTAGAAAATGTCAATCTAGTGTTAGGTATGTTTTGAAAATTCTTATGTGTGATAAATCAATTACTGTATTTGTCCAGTCAGGACACTTTGTAATATGATTGTATATATGGCAATCAATGTGCACTTTTTTACGGGACCGCTTATTTACAGTCCATTCATACCCCCAATTCTCACCTCTTGATTTTGACCATTGTCCGTCAATGTCAGATATGACATAACTTGTTTATTTCCTACATACCTTTCTTACAATATCTATACTTCTATCAATATCAGTGACAGACAAAAAATTGTATACTTCCTTACAGGTAAAAGTTTTAAAAAATCACTGATGCTTGACAATTTTAAACACTTTTTTTTTTCATGTTAATTATGAATAAAAATAATGTTTAAATCATGTGGTACACATGGAGAGTTTTTTTTCAGTATTTACTCACGAGGGGCTTGACTGAAAAAAGAAAGCTAGATTAATACAGATTTATAGTACAATTCCAATCAGTATATTTCCTTTTACATAAAAAAATGACTAATAATAAAAAATAATTTAAAATTGCAGGTTTTACAAAAATGATAAGTATACTAATAAAAATAGTTAATATATAAGTCAAAAGCAGGTCTGTTCTTGAAATATTGTTTGTGTTTAAAATGAATTTTTGTCAAAACTACCATAATTTACTGTGTTTGATGTAGAAGCATGCTTTCAAAACATATTCATCTCACAGGCTGTTTTAGGGGTAAAAAGGTACCAGCAAATCATAGTCTTTGAGAAGAAAAAGCAACAAAATTTAAATCAAACTTTTACTACACTAACTTATTCATTACCTCAGCTATGTTATATATTTTTATCTAGAATTACATCCAATTTCTCTGCTGGTCAGGTTGACCATCCCTAGTTGTAGACCTCCTTGACCTATGTACTACAACAAGAACTGGCATACTGCCCACTACTTTGTTTACAACTTACTGACTCATTAACAAGTCATCAATACTACTAAAAGTACAAAACAAAACAAGAATCTATATGTATACATTACCTTTACATTGTTGTACTAAATTCCATTTCCTTGAAACAAACTTGTGTTGGCAATTTACAAAAAATTATTTTTAAAAACACAGGATGCTATGTGTTAAAGTTAGATAATAATGCCCTTATCTCGTAAAGTTATGGTCAGTTATGCCCACTGGTCATTTACACATAAGACTGACCAATAGTTACTAGATCACTTGTCAATGTTACACAAACCCACTCAACACACATACACCAATGATTTTCAATGAAACTGACCCTATGACCTTGCATACTGATTACCTGAGCTGGTCATGTGACCAGTGTTATCCAATGTGATGTAATGTTACATAATCACACTGCACTGTATTGACTAATGGCCAGTAAGCTCTCTCAAGCATAATATCTGGAGGGTATAGTAAAGTCTAGATGGATAGATTAAATAGGAAATTTCCAATTAATCTTTTTTGGCATTGTAAAAATAACAATTGCAGATTTACACTGCACAATAGGGTGTGTTAGGTGTACATTGATGAAGTATTATTTGGCTGCAATGGAATTTGCAGATAAGAAGATCTTTTGACAGGCTTTCACTGAAATCTGCAGTAAATAGCAGATTATAATCTAGGAGTTTCTAAACATAGATTTACTATAAATTGATTTTATTGATTTTTTAGTGTGATGGCCTGAAAACAGGCCATTTAAAATTAAGGTGATCTATTATTAAGAATGAAAATCAGGGGTTTCATGCTTTATTTAAAGATTAAAGATTTGAATACCTTTAAGTACAAAAAGGTAAAAAACAGGCTATTTCAAATAACTACAGGAAAAGCGTCAGAGTGCAGTGCTGTTAGTGTTCAAACTTGTTTCTTTTATAAATTTTATTTAAGCTTTTTGTATTTCTAAGAAATTAATCAACAAGTTTCTGCTGGGGAAACTTTATAAAAAATTTAGTATCATTTAAGATTCGTAGATTTTCTTTTTCCCCGCAATTATTTACCAGAAAGATAAAATTGTAGAAAAATAAAGAAAAGAAAATAAGAGCAGTGCTGTTGTGGAGGGGGGAGGGAGGGGGGTTGCTTTGTTTAA